TAGGAATTGCTCTTCACTGTCTGCAAGACAATTAGGCAGCAGTTCAGAGGCCAGCTCTGGGGTCAAACTGTTCAGTCTCTCACTGGTCCCGACCTAGGCACCGTAAACTCAGTCTCCACCTCTGTAAAATGGATAGAACAGCAGCTGCCTCTGATGATCTGAGACTGCCACGAGGTTATCAAATGTACTCTGTAAACTCCCATGTTCTACCTCAGGTAAGTTCCTATATTCTGCACGTGCAGCTTAAAATTTCTTACTGCACAAACCTGCCACTTACAAAATTCTGTAAACGTAAATATAAGGTGAAGAACACAAGCCCACAAACTCTTCCCAGTCAAACCACCTGCGTGCTCCCCTCAGCCATCCTGGGGCCTCTAGGCCAATGGTTCCCAAAGAGGGATCCCGGGTCCAGCTACTGACACCCCACTGGGGTCCGCACTTCCCTCCACGAGGTTCCACACTGGCTGTACCTTCCACATGTTGGAGGTCTCAAGAGTCACAGGGCCTTTGCCACGCTGCTGCTCTGTGCCGCAGTGTTCTGAAAACACAGCTTCTCCAGCGTGATCAATGAAGGGCAATGATCATACAGAAAGAGTGAGTAGGAGGAGACAAACATTCCACAAGCGAAGGCCAAGATCACTGTAGAAGACCAGCAGAGAGAAAGGGCAAGCGCTGCACTCTGCGGGGGCTGACTCACACGTGGGTGGGAAAGGCTCTGAAAACACTGAGTCACATATCACTTGAGTGGTAAGGCCGAGTGACACAGGACAATCCTCACGATACACAGGAAAGGATTCTAAGAAATCAAAAGGGGACCAGAGCCACAGGCTCATGGGCCTTACAGGCTCATGGGACCTGGAAGTGCTGGGAGGTAGGAGTTGTCCCAGGCTGGAAGAGAGACGCCGGGTCAGAGGCCCTGGGGTTCAGGTCAGGACACTCATGAATCTGAACAGCAGTGAGGCTTCAGTCTGTCTGGTCAAAAACTTAGAGCAGTTCTACCAGCCAGGACAGGAATGGCTGCCTAATCTAACAGCGCTTCCAAAAGGATAAAGCCTTTCTCTGTTTGATCCTACTTTGAGAAAAAAGAAAAAAAAGGGGGGGGGGGCTTGTAGAAAAGCTTATCGAGAAAAGGAAGAACTGTGTCCGGCTTTTTAAATTTTTGAAGGCCAACTCCCCTTCCCACTTATAAGCTTACACTCCAAAGAATAACCCTGGATCTCCCAACAAACGCATCTGTGGACCATCACTTACAACCAAACAGCTCTGCAGGGGCTGCCGCCTACACCTGTGGCCACTAAAATCCAGCACTAGGCATGTGTAACTCATACCTTGCCCCTGAGATGTCAACTGGTTTCATAAGGGTGGAGCTTGTTTTAACAAGCTCCTGAGGGATACTGAGGCAGATGGTCCCGGGACCACAAAGCCACAAGTCATTACCGGAGAACAACCTGAGCCGAGGACCCCTGAGCCGCAGCACATTCACAAACACTACTGGGGAGAGCCAAAGCCCCAAGGCGCGGCCCCCGTTTAGCCTCTGCTCTCACAGCACAGATCGGGGTGTCAGCATGAGCGAGAATACGCCTCTTACGTAAGCTGCTGTTCTGTATGCAAATCCTTCACTCACCAAAAGAAGTTCAAACCACATAAAAAGCAACAACCCACCCCCAAAGCACATGCCACACAGTGCAGCCCAGAGCCTCACAGCTCGGCCAGACAAACACAGGCCTCCTCCTCTGCTGCGCCAAAACTGGGGCCCACCCTCAGCCACTGGGAAGTGGGTCCAGAGCTCCAAGTTAGGGAAAGGGTCCTGAGGGAGAGGTAGGTGGGCCTGCAGGGCTTCACTCAGCATGGATGGTGCTTCCTTCTGTCAGAAGACATAAAGGAGCTGGGCTGTTTCACTACACTTCCAAATCCCGGGGAAAGCTCAAGTAGGACAACACCTTCCCTGTCTCAGGTCTGGTTCAAGAACCCCAGACTCCTCTCTTGAACCGGACTCCTCTCTCTGACAAGAAGTATCAGTCTTTCCTCTCTCTACTCCCATCCAGCCAACCCTGGGTAGCAAGCTCAGCTCTAACTAGAGTATTAAAGGCTGGAAGTGGACGGGATGCTGATCACTACCAGGGTGACAAAAGACACGAATGCAGGTATGACCAAGGTGTGCTGTGTCTACAACAGGTACTCTGCTCCTGCATGGCGTCAGCTTGCGGCTTCTCAGCAAGGAGCCAGAGGCAGCCACTCCTATGCACTCCTATGCAGGCACTCCTACCCACTCCTAGGTACAGTGCAGACACGTGTTTCAGAGGGCAAAGTTTAGCTGTCTATTGCTCTGCTCCAACACCTAGCATGGTGACTAATCCTGAGGAAGTACTTAGCATACCAGTATTCAATCACATGACATCCGTACCAGAGGTGAAATTTCACGGCCATGCCCCCCGTTTGCCACACAGCACATCTCCACAGTACTCACTAACAGCCCAGCTTCCCGGCTGCAAGCCAGGCTCAGTGATTGATGTTCCAGTCTCTGCGTTTCTCCCAGGTTGTGACTTTCCATGTGGGACATGTGAGAACCCCTGCCTCACCCTGCAGGAGGGACTCATGGAGGACACTGCTGTAGGATGCATCTGAGCAGAAAGGCCCCTGATGGAGCAACTAAAAGAAAACACAAATAGCTCAGTGGATTAAAGGGCCTGCTTAGGCAGATGCAGGGGTGGGGAGTTCGATCCCCCAGCCTGCTGTGCCGGCCCCACCCCTGAGGCGCGCTGAGATGGCAATTGAGACTGGGCATGGTGGCACGCACCTATAATCCCAGCACTTGGGAGGCTGTAAACAAGAGGATCATGAGTCTGATCTAGTAGTGAGAGCCTGTACACCCTGTCCTAAATATAAATAAATAAAACAACACAGTGGAGGCAAGCAGCCTCCTCCTCCTTTCCTTCTACGTGTGGGTAGGATGGAGAGGAGAACACAGCAGTTTGGAGCCGGCCAGACTACTCCAGGCCTTGCCAGCTGGCCTCACCTGCTTCTTCTGACAACAGGGTACCCAACCTTCTCACCAGGTCATGGGTCAGAGGGCATCACTGAGGCTCTGCTCACTCTGGAACGTGGCACAGGCTGGGAGCCACCTTTCCTCCCTCCCGCTGAAGTCTGGCGGCTCACTCGGCAAACCTCTCCCTCCCTCAGGCTTCTCCTTACTCTGGGGGCAGCCATGCTCTGAGCAGGGCACTGGAGCCAACTGCCAGGGATCCCCAGGCTCTTACACGGCACTGGCGGAGCCTTGGGGGTTCCCCACCACCCTTCCTGAGACAGGGAACTCCCGACTGCCAGCAGCTGCCACAGGAACATCAAACAGGATGCTTATGCCAAGCCTCATTTACACGAGCCCACTTCCCCCAAGGGATGGCTGCTTAACACAAACAGCTCTTCCATATGCTGGGAGGCCCCAGCACCTCAGCATCCGGGATCCCCAGACGGAAACATGAGTCAGGCTGGGGCCAAGGCAGCCAAATAAATCTGCTCAGGAGAAATTTCTCTCCTTGGACAAAGAAGGACCTCAATGTGAAGCCATTCCCAGAAAATCATACAAGTTTTTATTTTCATTTTTGTTACTGGGAATAGAACTCAAGACCTTTCACTTCCCATGCAGGTGCTTATGCCACTGAGCTATCCAAGGACCTCCATGTGACAACTTGGGTTCCTCAGCAAGAATCCCTGGGGACAGCAAGCAGCCCATCCTGCACCCTGCACACCTACACCACACATTCTGGTTCCCTCTGAGATATCCAATGGCCCTGCTCTACAGGCAACAGACTGTCCGTCCTTGGACCCCAAGGCTTAGGCCTTTCCAGCTAAAGAGGCAGCTGCAGCAGGAAGACACGCCGAGTCCCTGGGCAGAAAACGCACAGTAGCTGGCACGGAGAGCTCGGCTGCAAGACACCAGCCATGAGGTACTGAGTTAAGGAAATGCCGGGCTTGGGGTCTTGAATTCCCTGGGTCACTGCCTCCCTTTCCTTCACTTGGTCAACAAAGACTCAGCAGGCAGGAGGAATTCCACAACCCAACACAATACACGTGAGCAGTTTTGCTCCCAGGACAGAGTTAGAAGGTGCAAACCACAGAATAAGCACAGGATCAAGTCAGAGCCAATTCTGACTCTGACTAGGGCCTGGATGTTGGCATCAGCCAGATCAGTACGTTGAATCCTAAGCCCCAGGCAACAGCATAGAAGGGTGGGGCTTTAGCAGGTGATTCAATCACGACTGGAACAAGTTCCCAAATGAAGAAGCAGGGAGGGCAGGCCCTGTCCCTCCCACCAGTAAGGACACAGCTGATACCACTGCCCAGGAGGCATAGGTGCTCATCAGACATGCACCGGCTCCCTGACCCTGAACTTCCCAGTCTCTGCAACCACGAGAAACCAATCTCCATTGTTTACAAATCACCCAGCCTGCGCTCTCTTTTATGGCATTCTGAATGGACTAAGGCAAGACCTAAAGCAGAAATGAGCTCCGTCCTCTATCCTAGTGAAGGCAAGAAACTCCAGCTGTGGGCTGGTTTGGTGAAGGCCACATCCAGAGTAGGCCAAAGAGGGAAAAGCACACCCTGGCCCAGGCAGCACTCAGGGCTGCACCCTGCCAGGGCATGCTGAGACACAAGCAAGGCTCTGCGTGGGCCCTGGAAAAGCACTGGCCTCCGGGGGCATGAGTCCCTGGTCTTGGGATATGAAGACTGCACACGCCCCTTGGCAACATGGTCCTTGAGAGGTGGCCATGGCCATGGGTGCCTTAAGGCACAGTTGGGGGCTGCCTACCCACTGGCCTTGACTCAGCAGCACACACAAGGGGTCTGTCACTGATGCAGCATGTGACACTAATGAGGTGTGAAGGAAGAACTAAGTAGCTAATGTCAAAGTTTGGGAGGGTCTTGTGAATATCCCTGGGCTGCAAGCAGAACCCCACCCACCATACCAAAGACAAACCCAAGAGAAAGAAAAGCCAACAGACCAAGCCCGTTCTCCACCAGCGCCGAGTGGGGCCCGTCACATTCGCCACTGCTGGTGTCCTGCTCCCCAACATGATCAGTCAAATCCACATCGGGCTGGTGGGACCCGTTTCCAAAGTGTCTCTCATCCTTCTCGGAGTTGGCATCCCCATTTTCCAGCCCATTTGAGGCCTTTTTCAGGGGCATGATCTGCAGGCCGCTGGGGGTAGTCCTGTAGGACACAGTCTTGGCAGCCCTGTCCCCAGTCCCGGGGGGTTTGCCTGAGTAACCCTTCCTGGGCTTGGACAGGGGTGGGTTGATCCGTTTCCGCTTGTGGGAAGTCCCTTTGCTCTTTCCTGGCTCCGCAGGCCTGTGGGAGGGCTTCTCCACCGACGCAGGGCTGCGGGTGTCACGCGGGAGCTTAGAGGTGCCTGCCTGCTTCCCGGACTTGACCCTCTTGTCTTTGGCCAGGTGCAGCCCGTTGAACTCGTCGATGAATTCCTCACAGTGCAGGAGGTGGTGCTCCGGCTCCCACGTGTCCTCCGTGCTCCCGTAGCCTTTCCACCGGATGAGGTACTCCCATTTTCCTTTCTTGTTCTTCCGCTTGTCTACAATCCTTTCAACCTGGGGGAGGAGACAAGAGTCAGAAGAGATAGAGGAAAGTTAGTGCTGGACATGCAGGATAGCACCGAGCCCTGGCCAGGGGTTGGCCCCACTTTCAGGGCTGCCCACGGCATGGCCTCATGTAAAGATGTCCCCGAAGGGGGCAGAACCACACCCCACACTCGCAATCTTGTCCTGTGAAGCCTCCTGACCCCTCCGAGGCTGAGTGGCCAGCATCATACTGCAGGCTTTCTCAAGAGATTTTTATTCCTTCCATGGCTGCAGAGTAGACCGAGACCTTGCAAGGCCTACTCCATAAAAGACCATTTACGGAGCCCCTGTACGGATAGCCCTGTGCTGATCTGCCTTTATGTATAATACTGATGACCATTAATACTCCCCAGGCCTTTAGAGGCCCATCCCGGACCAACACAGGGCACAGACTCTCGCATCTCATCTCCGACAACTCAGTGCGTCGGGTGTGTTTCCCAGCCCCACTTTAGAGATTAAGCATTTAACCATAACCAGTCTTCAGTGGGCAGAACTCGGGCACGAACCACTTCAGCCCATGCCTTCTCTCTTCGTCAGTAGACCACGCTGACTCTCTACCACAGGGACCAGAAAGGATCTGAATCAACTGAGTCAGTTCTCCCACGCAGCAGCCCTGGCTGCCACCCAGGGCACAACATGAATGGAGAAGGCGGAGGAGAGGTGGGGAGGTAGGCGGTGCTGCGGAGAGGTGGGAGGTAGGCGGTGCTGCGGAGAGCCTACTGTGTGCCCTACATCACTCTTCTTACCCCATTCCACACGAACCAGTTACAAGGCAGCTGACTAGGACGCCCGCCCAGGAGGTGGGATCTGAGTTGCTGCTTGGTTCTATAGCCACGTGCTCCTGCTGGCATGTCCTAAAGGTGAGAGAAGCCTCCTCTGGTCCCATAAACAAACACACTTAAAGGACCAGCCAAATAGCTCAGTGGATTAAAGCGCCTGCAAGCAGGTGCAGGAGCCCGGGGTTTGATCCCCCGGCCTGCTGTGCCGGCCCTGCCCCCAGGGTGCACTGAGATGGCAATTGAGACTGGGCATGGTGGCGCGCGCCTGTAATTCCAGCTCTTGGGAAGCTGTAAACAGACAGATCACTGTAAGTCTGATCTAGTAGTGAGACCCTGAACACCTTGTAGACCCTCCCCTAAAATAAAATAAAATAAAATACACTTAAGGAAACACCGCCCTAATGCTAATAACCAATATATCTAAGTGAAGGGCATTTTGAGCTCATTTATTATTATTTCTATTTTGCTGTGGATGTGACATTAATTTTAAAAAATGGTAATTCTCAATGCTGCACCCCTAAAATAAAACATTTCAATGAAAAGGTAAACAATGCTATTCAAAATGTGTCATACATAGCTCAATGACCACATAATACGTTCTTACAGAACAGTATTTTGACACAATGAAATTAGGTAGCAAGCAAAGAATGTGTCCTTGAAACTTAGGAAAAAGAGGAGAGGGAAAGTAGTTACACTGAAGTTGCCAGTTGTTGAAGATGTGCAATGGATACATGGGGGTCATTATGACTGTTTACATGTTTGCAGTTTTATAAACTGGGATTTTGCGCCAACAGTTTATAAACAACAGAAGCTATGAAAAATAATTAAACAGATTTTATTACTTCATAATTAATAACGATGGAAATAGCTAGACCCTGCTTTCCCTTCGTAATACTGCCTCTCCTAGACAATTTTAATTGTTTCTGTAACTGATTTATCTCCATTTAAATTGGCCTATGTCTATTACAATTTCTTCCTTTACAAAATGTTCTGTGAACATCTGTTTTAGATTTATTGCATAATTTTTAGATGTATCACTAAACTCTATAACAGTTTTTTAAAAGTAAAAGCATGCCCAGCTCATCCAACTACTGACCTGTGGGTTAAGGAACGGAGCTGGTTTGTGTATCATTTATAACAGCGCTTCAAGAGGTTTCTGCAGGAGTCTACCACTTGGCTTACTCTGAGGATGCTGGGGGTGGGTATAGCATGCAGGTTTCAGGAGGGCGGAAAGTGAATATGCAGAGGATGCCAACCTGGAGCGTCAGCAGCAAGCCCAGGTATTTCCTTTGTGTGTGTGTGTGTGTGTGTGTGTGTGTGTGTGTGTGTGTGTATTTTAGGGAAGGGTTTACAAGGTGTCCAGGTCTCACTACTAGATTGGACTCATAGTGATCCGCCTGTTTATAGCCTCCTAAGAGCTGGGATTACAGGCTCATGCCACCACGCCCAGCCCAGACTCCAATGCTGTCTCAGCTCGCCCTGGCGGTAGAGCCAGCATGGCAGGCCAGGGGATTGAAACCCTGGCCCCTGCACCTGCTAGAAGGCGCTTTAATCCACTGGGCTATTTGCCTGGCCCTCCCAGGTAGTTCTTGGGAACTAAAGGATGTGTCTGTAAAGGTGTCTAGCTCTACAAAGCACATGGTAAGGAGGTTGAATTTCTCCCAAAGATAAAGCAGAGGACCACATTAGTTAGATATGGGTAGATGCAGGAGGATGGACAGAGAGGTGGGTGAGTGGGTGGATGAATGAATGAATGTAGAGATGAATCATACAGCAAGTAAGAGGATGGGTGGATGGACGAAAGGGAGTAAAAAGGTAGGTGCGTGAAAGAGCTAAGTGTGATATTTGAACGCACAGGCATTAGAGCTAGACTATCTGGTTTCAATCCCCTATTTAAGCTTTATCATGGGTTCTAGAGCAAGTTTCTAACACTCTTTGGCCCTCAGATGACTCACAGCAAAGAGGAAGTAACACACCTACTTCATAGGAGGGCTGCACAGAATATGCAAATCCGTGTTGTGCACATTCCACATTAAAGGTCATGTAGCCCTGCACAGCTTCCTATGACCACAGACGTTGCTGGTGTCTAAAAGACAGACTATTTCCCCATCTGCACAACACGTCCTTTTCAGACAATCCACTTCTCCTCCCTGGGGTCGGATGGCTGTGTACCACAGGGCAGGTGGAGCCTGGGGAGCTGCCCGACAGGTTTATACAGCTGTTTGGGGCCACCCTGGAAGGAGAGATTAGTTTTGTTCCCTCCAGATTACTGGAGATTTCAATGTAGAGTCACATGTTGCTTTATGAGGGACAAAAGGCAGTGCTCCCCCACCCCACCCACAAAGCCCTTGGACGCTTGACCTAGTACCAAATAAGAGCACCAGGAACACGATCATCCCTAACAGCCTGTTTGCAGGAAAGAACTGTTGCTGCCACCTATCCCTATGACCCCTGGTAACTCAGCCAACCCTCTGGGACTCCGTGTCCCCATCTACAAAATAAAATACACTTAATAAAAACAAAAGCAAAGCCTTAGGAGAACCCTGAAGACTAAGAAATGGGAAGTGTCTTGAGCACCCCAAAACACTCTGAAAAAAATGGATTGCTTTGGGACACACGGAACCAAAAGACAACAGTGCTTTCATGAGTGTTATTTCATCTAATGTATAAAACAAAGACGGTTATTCCAGCTTTGGAAAGACGACTGCCCTTTCCAAAACACCAAAATGCTGCAAGGAACTCAGGAGACAACTTGCCCGAAATGCTCCACCTTATTTTACCCCTGACCTCATTGACCCCGTCTCCTTTATTACCCCCGTGCTGATTTCCTGGTCCTCTTTTCCTCCTCTTAGGAAAGGCTCCAAAAGAGCTGGATTCTAATTTCCTCTCTTGACAAGAAGACTGGCCTTGCCTATCGCTGCAGTGCTCCCTATTGGAGAGCAAGCTTTCTTCTCCTAAAGCTCAGAACCTGCTAGTGCCTGCTAACTCCTCCTTCACACCGCAGATGGCAGAGCAGGTTCTGCCTTTGATGCAGCCCCTCCGCCTGCATGGGCTGTGCTGCGCAGCCCCCTGAAGCTCAGTCCTTCTGAACGCAAGCCACACTAAGTCCCTTTCCCTGACTTCACACACACTAACAAACACACAAATAGCAGAAAATCCAGCTGCCTGCACCCCCGACAGCTTCTTTGTTCAAAGATAAGCAATCTGAGACACTGAACTATTCCTTGGAGTTCAACTAAATCACTAATTAATACTTACTCTCTATGATCCCAGCTAACTGAAGACTATTCTACTGTGGGTGGGGGCAGGGAATTCTGATGCAATTGTTACCAGTGACACAGTGACACAGGGATGGCTGTCTTGTTAGGCATAAACAATGATGACATCACTCTGATTGGGACATCCTAAATTCCAGCAACTGTACACTTGTGATTTATTAGATTTCATCTTTGTGTACAGTCTTTTCACAGGGCATTATTCTCACCATTTGACAATATTCGCACCATAAGGACACCTGAGGCTCAGAAGAGGATGGTTAAACAAGACTGGAACCCAAGATCTGACGCCGTAGCTTGCACTCCTAGATACCTGGTTGTACTTCACCAGTGGGAAAGCCACCAGAACAAAGAAGGGTCCAGTGAAGTGCCAACTTTAGGGACCAGTGACATGCAGGGACAGGTATTGGAGAAGGAAATGGCTTCATGGAAATCATCCCCCCAACAAGTATTTCGCTTCGTGCCTGTGGTGCTTGGAAGGAATACAGGGCCTCGCACATGCCAGGCAGAGGTCCTGCCACTGAGCTTCACTCTCGGAGTTTTTTAGAACTATTTCTTTATTCATTTTGTACTAGGGATTAATCTCTTGCCTTGCACTGAGCTACACCCCCCCCGCCTTATTTTGATTTTGAAAGCGGGTCTCTAACTTACGATCAGGCTGCCTCCCTCAGGCACCTGGGATTACAGATGTGCACCACCACACCTGGCTCAGCAAGCCGGCGATGAACATCGCTACAGAAGGCTCGGTGTGCGGTAGGAAGCCAACAGAGCATCAGCGCATCAGAGTCTGGAGGGAACACATTTAGAAGAGTGGGCACGAGGTGATATCCAATAAGGGCTATGAAGAGTGCCGTGAGGGGAAGAGGAGGAATGGTGACAGCCACAAAGATGCTGCAGAAGGAATAATTCCAACAAA